TCTGCCACTGAAAAAGAGACGAATCTTCAGAGGCACTTACAGGATTTGCATCCCTTCTCCCAGAAAGATTGCCCAAATGAACAAATAATAGCTGGCTGGAGTACACTGTGATGCTTGGTATCTTAATCAAAGCTAAGTTGCTGTCATTTCATCAAAATTAAAAGGTGTTTCATGATGTCTTTATTCTCAGCAGCGCACAATGTCTCGTGGTGCTTCTGTGTAAAAAGGAGGAAAAATGCTCCTTGCATATTGGTATATTTGATTATGGTGATTCCCCAGTGTGGATTCATCCTGGCCCTAAGCAATGTAAAAATGGAAAAATTCAGTTGTTCATAAGACTAGCTATTCTGACCAAGGAAAGTAATAATACAGGAAATACTCTATACCTGTGGGTTCCACTGCACTGACTATTTATGTGAGGACAGTGTTTGGCTTCTAACAAGTCCCAGGAAATACAGGCTGGGATGAGGGGGAAGAAGATATGGCAAAGTTACCATCGCTTTCATTCTTCTAAATTATTTTTCATGTTAAATGCAATTAACAAGGCCTTTTAGTCATATAGTATTTTCTATGGAAAAAAATGCCTAGTGCCTAAACTGACAGTCTTCCCACTCACGGTCGTCTTTTCCCTGAAAGCTTGGTAATTAAACCAACGAGTTATATTATCTGCTCTGTAAGTATATTATCTATCTATATGTTATCTGCTACTGTAATTTTATGTTTGTGTTTACACTGCTGTTTACTGTAAATGTTAAATTAAGAGACACTCTAGAAAGAAAAAGGATTTAGCACATATAGATACCAAACACAATCCATATAGATCATATGGATCCTAAACACGATAAGGACAAGGCCTGCTACTCTATTTACTTTAGTAAGATCTACAGCACAGAAAATCTGTCTAACTATGTCTTTGCATGGTACTCAAAGTACCTTGAGGTTTCAGCTTGACTGGAGATTTTAGTGCTAGAACAGTATAAATAAAATTATTCACTATAGAAATCACAGAACATACCAACAGATTTATTCTTGAGATGCTAGAGAACCAAATGATGTGAATTTAGTGAGGTTAAGAACCTCAATTAGTTAATTACCTATCTGAAAATAATAAACTTCATAATCCACATTTTGTTCTCAGGCAATATTATACACTAGATATTCACTAACTAGTACCCCTCCATACTATCTGGATCTATATGCTCATACTAAGCTGAAAATAGAATATTCAAAGGATTTCACAGCTTTCTTAATTTAGGAAAAAACCATGTTCATTTCTACAGTAAATGTAATTATCATTAATCTTCCTTTTTTTTTTACTCAATTAATATAGAAGCACACTCACACTGTACACAGAAATAAAACATGCACTGGCACAGAATAAATTTAAAGCAAATGTTTTATCTGTATAACCCAGTATTTCAGTTTATCATCTTCTCTTAACAGAGAGAAGAAAGCATGAAAAAGAAAAGCAACTTCTTTTCTGCTTCCAGGAAGAGTCCCAGTGATTACAAAGAACAGCATTATTATGGGCAGATTTTAAAATTAGGCCCAAATTTAACTAGTTTATAAAGAGTTAATCCATTTTCAATAGGCTCTATGCTAAATGCAATGTGCATTAGAAATAATTTTTGAGTAGATGCATGCTGGCAATGCATGAAAGAACTTTTGGAATCTAAATAATCTTAAGAATTGTTTTGTCATTTATTAAAATGCTACTTGCAGCATGTTAACCCTTTTAAAATGAATACAAGCCTCCTAGCTGCCACTACCCTTGCTGTGTTAAGCAGTGAGTTTCCGCCAAAGCGTAAATCCCCCAGGGCAGTCCTCACATGGGCACTATCAAGTCAGCTCTGTCACTCACTCGTCTCAGCTGTCACTTTGCACTGCCTGCTTACACCAGCTACAGGGTGGGTAAGTGACAGTGTGGTGTGACAGCAGCCTTCCAGCCTGGCCTCAGTTGGATGGTTAAACCTGTTCTTCAGGGTCCAAAGCACACCAGCGTTAAAGGCTGCACTAGGCAACCTTGAACAAACTTATTGAGAAAGCATTGTGCCAAGAATCTGCTTCGTATTTCCTTTGCATGAATATTGTTGTATCCACAGGTAAAGAAACGCTACAACTGTTTTCAACGAGTTGAAAGTCAAAACCAGACTTCCATCAAGGCACAAGAAAAATGCCAGTCACCACGCAAGACTACACAAGCGACCAGATCACTAGTAGCAGATCCCAGCAATGACCATTAGTTTAGATGGGCTTCCAGACACATTTTGAGGCAGCTGATACTTATTTCACAGTCCCTGATCCTGTAATTGATGGCAATGAAGCAAACTCCTCCAGTTGGATGGAGGCTGAGTTTATAGCAGTTCACAGAATAGTTCAGGTTGGAAGGGATCTCAGGAGGTCACTGTTTTCTATGTTCAGTTGGAGGATTGGGACTTGATTATGTGGGTCCGTGTGAACTGGAAGAAAACATTTGTCACAAGCTTAGAAGCCAACTAAAATAACAGATTATTGGCTAATGCCTTTTAGTCTTCTGTGGAAAAACAGCCTGTAATCATGCTTCTATCCACTTTTAATGGATATGCTTCATTTGCAATTCCCTGTCAAATTCCATTACTTGCTTACACTGTGTAAGCAGGGTAAGTGTTCATCTTGCACATGGGATATACAGTTATTTGCTTTAGGACAATCCCAAATAGATGTCCATAGGAAGAATAATCTGCCAAAGGCACTGCTAGCCCTACTTAAGCACAAGGAATGAATTTGCTAGTTGTGGTCTCTTACTCCCAGTTTAGAGTAGACTAAAGATATCACAGCCTTAAAAGACATAATCTTCCAGAGATAAAATACACAAAGTTACATTGATATTTCAATTATATACCTGGTTGGCACCTTCTCTTATTTCACCGAGACCCACCCTGTTTCCTACAAGGGACCTGTGTCCTACTGGTATTCTGAATGCCCATGCCTGGTCCCCACCCAACTGTCAGTTTACCTGGAAAATCCAAGAAAAATCAATCTTGTGGACCTCTGAACTGCACAGAAATGCAGAAATACTAGGCTGTAGAATATCTTTACATGATTGAATTTTGATGTTAACGTTTTCAAAATGGCTACTTATCCCTTGCAAAACCAGTAGGAGACAGAGAGGCAGAGCAGCCTGCTAGGAGCCGTAGATACTAATCAGCTAGATAGCCATACTGCATAGATGACTGAGAATCTCATTCTAAAAATACCAGTATCAAGAAGCAAATGAATAGTTTTGCGTATCTAAAGAACAAAGCACCAGTTCAGAGTAATGATGTTATTTATAGGGCTACGGGATAATATGCATGTACGTTATGGATGTCCTTTAATTTCACAGATGTGACTTTATTCTGTTACAGCCATCATGACTCATATTTAAGCTTTACAATATACAGAACAGAATTAAATGAAAGTCAGCAGAGATTTGCTTCATACTCTATAATTATAAGGATCTATTTTTTTAATCTTAATATATACATATTAGGTATGGTCAATACTAAAGTAGGTAATTGTGTGTTACGGCAATGATGATCCTTATGACACTGAGTTTGAAGATCTACAAACAGAAAAAATATTCTCAGCGTAAAACTACGAAAGAGCTTTAGCAGAAACTAAGGGTATAGACTACTGTGGCCATGCCATACTTGTGTAACCCCTGGCAGTTCATTAGATACTCAATTTTGCAAATCTTCAACACAGCTTTTACAAAGGATCATGGCCACATCAAAAGCAACATTTTACTTAGAGCTGAGCAAAAAAGGACTAAAAAGCCCCCCAGGAAAAATGCTCTGAAAGAGAATAAAACTGCTTGTGAGATGTTTTCAAGACCAATCCACCACAGTGGAGTGAATGCCTACCACAAAGCAATACCCCTTTTATTCCCCCCAAACTAAAACACCAATAGGATTTGTCAGACAGACAGGAATTCACTTCAATGACAGATAATGATAAAGAAGAGTTTTTAAGGATTCAATTTTAACAGCTCCTCTGGACACTAATTGGAAATAAGATACACCACAGAACTTTTTCATGCTAAATCCATGAGACACCCATATTTTTGTGCAAATACTAATATTCTTCATAATCCTATTTTTTTCTAACACTTAAGTGTTCATACAGAAAACAGCACAAAAGGATGTATTTGTCTCTTATGGGTTATTTTTGTCTCCAAACAACAATATACACATTTTAAAGCATCGTTCCCACCAGCTATTTGGGGTCACTTTTTACCCAGTGTAAGTGGAAGTATATAACTGCAGTGTATCAGCAAGTAACGCTTAGTATTATGCAAATACTTAATGCTCACCTTGGTGCTGGAATAAAAATATCTACAGAGTGTTTTATAGTATGAGCTAGAGAAAATTTAATCTGAAGAGTTCAGAACAGTTTGGAGGCATTTTTGAGTTTGTGTCACTACATTAATGGAAGATAGTGACTCTATAGCTAGATCTAGACTTCAGATGCCATGTATGTAACCATCTAGTGGATTGGTTCACAAACCCTTCTGCTCTTCATCTGCAAAGGATACAAATTGTGCTGTTAAACCTGAGATTTGCTGCTTGACCTTTCAGCTCTAGCAGGTTGCTTTTCAATCCTGAGTTATTTGGAAAAAAGTTATCTTCCCATTCAACTGTACAGCAACCCTACAGCTGCTGGCCCCCAACTAGAGGCTGCCAAGTTCAGAATCAGCACTAGATCACACTTCCAACCGTGATGCAAACTTGCTAAGACTTTTCAGAATAGTAAAGTTCCATGCTCAATCCTACTCCAGTTCCCAAATCCTGGAAGTCACTCAAAATACAAACTATAAACAGCAGACATTTTCTTTGCTGTTACTTCGTTTAGCATAACACAAATCATCCTGCATTCATACCACTGGCAGACACAAAAGAAAACAATCCGTCTGCCCCTCAGTTCAGGGAGGCCACTCATCATTCACTTCTTCACCTGGAAAAGACTGTAAATAAACAAACCTGTTTGGCCAACTGATCCTTCTTCACCAAGCCAGTGGCTGCAGCAATGTTCCCTGCTCCTTCCACTGTCTTCTGGGCCACTGCCGTCACTCCTGTCACCACAGCTCCCCCAACATTAGACACTTGCTCTTTGGTCTTCTCAGCCACTGAGGAGAAGCAGAAGACGGAAAAACACGTTACAGCTCTGGGAGCTGTAAGCTTTTCAGAGAATCGTATCTATCACTGACAGCCCAACATCATGAAGAGCCATAAGGTCATTGCACTTTGTGTACCCCAAGTGGATCTTAAGAAATGAGACTATCCATCTGGTAACACTGGAGCTGCAGAGGTAAAAATAAGCCTTATTTGTGGCTCAATTTCTTCCATGTGAAAGACACTTGACATTTTCATTCATGCCTAGCTGTACGTAATTTAGGGAAGAAAAGTCATTACTTAAGGGCCCTTATAATGCCCAGCTCGCTGTGTAATATGTAATAATTGCATTCAATATATCCCAGTTTGGAAATGCATTCCACTTAGACCACCAAACACTTGCTACATGTTACAGGGCATGGAAGACAAGATTTTTTTACATTAGACTCAAAAGCCATTGATTATTCTTTTATTTTTATTTTCTAAAATACACTTGATTAATAAGCAGAGCTACTGTTACTCAACCAGAGAATTTCAAATACAACCTTTTATCCGATTCTCTGAGATTTTTTGCTCCACTGCTGATGTGTCCATCTATTACATACTAATCTACAAAAAGATCGAATGCCAAAGATGCTAAAGCAAAATAGATTAATAGTTAACTTCCAAGATGCAGGGAAACAACAACTCATTTAGCCTACATGTACATCAGCAGTTGCCATTCTACCTTTCAGAATATCACTGGGTTCTTTCTGCTCATTCATCCCCAAGGGCTCTTTCTGACAGCAGTTTGCACTGTAGTGAAACTGCTCTAAGAGATGGGATGACTTCATGCCTTCAAGTTACACAGGCAGATTTTCAGCTAGAAACACATTTTCTCATCTAAACAGGGACTGCTCTTCAAAAACATCCAGCATATAGTTTTGTAATTTTAACTAATCCTATAATTTCCTCTAGCCCAAATCCCATCTGATCCATAAAATGTATTCATAGCTCTATTTGCACCCTGAGCACAGCATGGATTCTGCTTGGCAGATAGACCACCCTTTTTTGGGAAGCACACACGAATAGAAGACTTTCTATGGATAAATTAAATCTAATTCCTTACATAAAGAGTATCAGCTGCCTATATCACAGGGCATGCAGTATATAGGTTGTTATGATTGACATTAAATAACAACAATTAGGAAAAAGCTAGAAAGGTACAACATGTGCCTAATATGTGATTTTTATTAAAGACCCAAATAATAAATATCTGCTGACTGAAAATTATTTTATCAGATCATTTAACGCTCATTCTAACTAAAGACAGTAACTGATTGAGTATTCCCTCTTTTACGACCAAACCCAGAAGCTTTCATTATAGAGCAGAACAACAATACATAGTCTGAAATTAGAAACAGAAAAAGTCTGTTCCAAATATCTTCCAACCTATACATGCTAATAAGATACAAATTCACAAGAAATTTCATTGTATCCATCCAGTACTCTTGCCATGCTTTTTCCATCAAAAAAAAAAATCAAAAGTGGGCTTTGCTGAAAAGCAAATGTTGCCCTCAGGGAAGGTTTGACATAATGCTAGCAAGTGCAGAAAGACCTCTATCAAGATGCCCCATTTGATTATTACCAGCTACAGACTATAAAAAGCTCTGGATTCTACACATAAAATTTATATAGGAAGTTTTTCACTAGTTCTTGCAAACACATATCTTAAGGTGTGTGTCCTAGTAACATGTCATATCTTCCAAAGAATGTTAAGATGTGATTGTGTATGGAGTCTTTCAGAAACAAACTGAGAAAGGTTATGAGACGGAAACTTGTTAACACTTTCATATTATTTAGAATGGCAAGAAGAAATCTCACACAGAGCTATGTAAAAAAAAGTATCATCTTGCAAAAATACATTTTAAAGTGATATTCTCCAAGAAATGTAAAAAATAAATAAAAGAAAGAGACGTGTTTGGGGTAAATTTCAGTATTGCTTTTTATTTTTCCTCTGTCTCATTACTTTTCTGAGAGAGAAGGAAAAAAGAAAAAACAAACCCGACAGAAGATACATAAATCAAGGTCCTTTTCCTTGTATGGAAGTGACATACGCTATTTTGAAAACTCCCTCTTCCAAAATACATTGAAAGGCAGAACATTTAAAAGAGACAAATTCAGCAGGCTCGGTGCTGACAAAGGATCACATGCTCAGCTGCTCTTGAGCGGACTCCTTGCTTTTGATAAAATGATAAAGCATGGTTGCACTGTGTTCATTGTCAATAGTCATAATTACTTTCATTATCTCAAGGTCTTAAAAAAACTGCACCTCAAAAGCAAAATATCAAGAAATAGAGTGAAATTGAATGCATTGTGGATGCTGCAATACAAAACACCTAACTCCCGATGCCACTATTAAACACACATTTCTCAGACTATGTTGTCATGGCAAGTATGACCACCTACCAAGAGTAACTACCCAGTGGCTGCCGTTCCCACTATTAGAGTGTTTTGGGAAGGCTCTGTCTGAATTCTGTTTTCTCCTCCGAAACCCACATTACCCTAGAAAGGGCTTAGCACATGCAAACAAAAAACCCCAAAGAATCAGGCCACTAACATTGTTACTGGCACAACAAGAAGATACCTGATAGAAGGAGTAACAAAAGCAGTACATTTAAGATTGCTTTTATTTCAGACTGTCATGGTTTAACTTCAGCCAGCAACTAAGCACCCAGCAGGATGGGGGGAAGAGAACTGGAAGGGTAAAAGTGAGAAAACTCATGGGTTGAGATAAGAACAGTTTAATAATTGAAATAAAATAATTTTAAAAAGTAGTAATGAAAAGGAAAATAACAAAGAGAGAGAGATAAAACCCAAGAAAGACAAGTGATGCAAATTAAAACAATTACTCACCACCAACTGATGGATGCCCAGCTAGTCCCTGAACAGCGGCCCCCCAGCCAACCTTCCTCCTCGTTTTATTGCTGAGTATGATGTCATATGGCTTGGAATATCCCTTGGGTCAGTTGAGGTCAGCTGTCCCAGCTGTGTCCCCTCCCAGCTTCTTGTGCACCCCCAGCCTACTCGCTGGTGGGGCGGTGTGAGAAGCAGGAAAGACCTTGACTCTGTGCAAGCACTGCTCAGCAATAGCTAAAACATCCCCCTCTGTGTTATCAGCACTGTTTTGGTCACAAATCCACAAGATAGCACCATACTAGCTACTATGAAGAAAATTAACTCTATCCCAGACAAACCAGCACACAGACATAGCATAAGAAAGCTGGCACAGGAGGTACCATGAAAGCTCTCTCATATACTGCTTCAGAAATCAGAGTCATGAAGATAAATTCAGCAAACTAGACACATAGCACAGATGTGCAAAAGCACTCATACTAGTAGGAGAAAGAGAAAGTTTTCTTTCCTGTCTCTAAGGAATACTAAACACCATCAAAGTCCCTTTTACCAGAGTGACTTTGTAAATAAGCTCCAGCCTGGTGACCCTTCAGCTCTGAAACCCTAGCAACAGGAGAAGAAAAAACAAAATAGGTTTCCAGCCTCATGTATTTTATTGCTTACACTAAGTAGTAACAGGGGAAAAGCATTAAGTGTGCACAAACAAATCAGTTCAGAATGCAGGGGGTTGATAGCAACTAATTAAATTAATCTGAATACCTGGTTGTTTAATGATCTTAAGCCATTAAGTCTTTCTAAAGCTGATGTCTGCTTTTCATCACGGTGCAGAGAAACAGAGTAAATCAGCTTCTGCAGAGCTCTGCCGTGCTATGACCTGAGTACTTCTGTCCATCTATGCAGAGACTGTCCATTCCAGTAAATGATCCTGGGATGGTGTACAATGACCATGCCAAGGCTAACTTTGAAACTGAAGTTCTAATACTGACTATAGTACTGTGCAAAAATCATTGGCATTGAAGGTTTCTTTTCCCTACTTTTTATAGACAACTGGGTAATACACGATATCAATATAAAACCTTTGGAGCAATTAAAAATGAGAACTAATTGCTTTCAATTTAGAACAAGAAAAGTGGATGAAAACCACAGGATTTCTCTGAATTCATGAAATTACTCTTACTGCACTAAATATACTTTTGAATGTGTATTTCAGACAATAAGGTTGCCTTAGGTACTTGAAGAATTCATTTACAAAGAAGCCATAAATACATGGGGGGGTTCTTTAATTCATACAATTTACTGAAAGATACCTGATGGAGTTAAAACAAACACAACAGGAATACCACTGACTAAGAATGTTACGAAGAACAAGAATGATCAGATAAAAGAATTAAGCAAAACACTTGCTTATGGTTCGTAACTGTTGATATTGTGTCTTAACTTCAGGAAACAGACACATGGTTGAAGTATCAAGGGCTTTTTGGCCGTGATCTTTTGTACAAACCAGTGCTTTACTTTTATTATCAGGAAATAGACTGTAAATATTTCATCTTTGATACTATACATTTCTGGACATTTATCCCTGGGAGATAAGCAAGATTGATGAACTATGCATTTACAGTCAAAGGCCAGTAGACATGTCAATTAGGCAGGCAAGTCAGATACACAAGCTAACACCCCATAAAACCAATAAGCAAAGCTACTTCATCTTCAGAAGTTCTGAGAAAGGGTAACCTGACAAATACATGCTCACCATATTCCTGCAAATCACAGCCTGGCATCCTCATTTTACAGTGTCTTGATGCCACTAGAACTGGTACAATCAGGTCATACTTTGTTTAAAGCAAGAAACATCTGTCTAGTATTTCTGGGTTTGGAAAGCAACTGACTGAAAACTGTATTTAGCTGTTCAGCACTTTGGGGTGCATCAGCTCCCAGTCCCTTCACCAGCAAACGGTTTTAAACCACAAACTATTCAAAAATAGCAAAACTAGCAAGACCTTGGAACTCAGACAGTAAGAGAGGACTGACTGCACAACTGTGAGCACACACTCATTTTGATCTGTGATTTTAGTTTTTAGTTTGCATTTGACTGTCTCCAAGCTCTTGAATCATTTTTGTTCACATAAAATGTGTTATTTCACCTCAGGTTGCACATGATATTAACACACTGGTGCATCATAAGACCACCAAAACCGGCAAACTCCTAGTCCTATGAAAAGAGACAAGTAGGTCTTTACAAGTGCCCTAAAAGGCAGTTTGTCACATCAACTTTAATAGCATTGATTTAAATGGATTTGATTTCTAAGACTTTACTAGCATTTCTCAGTGTCTTCACATTATATCTCATAGCATCACTACAATGAACCCAAGTCTGTTTTTACCTAACTTCCCTGCTTGCCAGAAAAACACTTCATAGACTTGCAATTTTAAAAAATTTTTTATTGTTAAAATATGTGCCCAAGCAATTCTTCTGTTTTTATACTACCGAGCCCATCCTGTTTCATTTTAGAAACCGTGCTCTCTGGATTTTGCATTAGGTCTCCTCGTCTCACTGCCACATTTCAACCTGCATGCCCTCTATTCATTTTCCATTTTCATTCAACAGCCGAACCCCTTTCAAACAGTTTAATAGGCCAGAAGGAAGCAAACTGTGGCACAGAACCCATTATTCCCAAGCTTTGGGTGTTTCACTTTGTGTCACCCATTTCCTAAAGCGGGTGAAGAGCGACCACTGTTTTGCCTAAAATTAGCTGTAACTTTTCTGAATTTTCTATTCATAGGCACAGCACATAACAGATGTGTTCTCCTTATGTTTGGCTTTATAGTCTGTTTTGTATCTTGTAGAACAAAATTTAACATCTTTTCAAACTTGGCAAAAATTCTATTAATCTACTTAAAATTTCCTGTCTCACTACACATACTGCAATCAGATAAAGATGGATACTCACAGCATTTGAGATGGGTTGTTTCTCGCAGAAGGGAAAGAAGCTCCCCACTAAGCAGGCCCACTACAGAGTCCCAGCACTTCAGCAAGTTTCATACACATGCAAATGCCCTTGACTTTTATCTACCACAGCCCAGCTTGGTGAACACCACCTCTATTAACTTGCTTGTTAGTGCTGTCAGTTGCTGTTCCCACATCTGTGGTGACATTAGACATATGTGTCTCAAATCTCATTCTACTGCAATCCTCTACTGGTTATAGTAATGATCCCTCTGAATATTTCTCTTAATTGAGGTCTAACAAGCTGCGACTTCAAACCTCATAACAACCACATGCATGTTCAGCCTGAGGCTAAACTCTGAAGGACTATCATAGATGTTCTGTTCAGTTTTGTTACTAAAAATACTCTTGACTGACTTCTCAACCATTTATGTGGGTTGTGATATTAAGTACTGCCATTTGTTTACCTACAGTTGTTCATCCTTTGCATTGGCTTATGTGAGCACAGGTGAATCATAGACTGGCTGTACACAAAACGAAAAGAAAGAAGAAATCCTTTTCTACTCCCTTACTTATTTGTTTCCTAATTTCTTAGGGGAAAAAACACCTTAAAGTTCTTGGCCACGCATTTTCTTCACATCTTCAGAAGTCCCACATTCTACAGCAGAAAATTACACATTCTATTCAATGCACTATGGTCAGCTGAGGCTTTCCCACACTCTGTAGAGATCAAAGACTTCCATTCATTTTGCCACTTACTACGAATTATTGGTTACTGGTTTCAGTTCACACCTAAAACGATCCCGGTAAATCAATTTAAAATGTGAATTTACTACTCTTCTGTGTAGAAACACTAATGTGAATACACATGCCTGGCATTAACTTCAAAGTTTGCAAGTGCTGTTGCTGCTGAGAGATCAGTAGTTCTAAAAAAAAAAAACGTTTCAAAACCCTCATAACTGTGACAAATCCAAACCAGTTTATCAAAACTCTGGAATTTGTTTCTTTCCTATAAGCTATTTCTCTTTGATCTTCCCACCCAACCAGCTCCAGTGGGACACACTGATGAGTCACACCAATCTTGTGGGACCAGAGAGGGCAATGGGGCACGTCCACACTGCAGCGGCAGCATGACTGTCGGTGCCGCAAGCACACCTTGTCTGAAACCGCACTATCTGTGCATTGCTGGAAACGGACCCCAGGCTGGGATGAAGAACCACTAAGAGTACAGGGGATACTCGGGTATTAAGTTCCCGGGGAGAAGCCGCCGGCCATCGGGCAGGCAGGCGGGTGCCTTCCGCCGCTGTAAATCACCCGCGTGGCTGGCCGCAGCCCGGGCTCAGCCGCGTGGGGGAAGATCCCACGCCGCGCCACGGTCTGCCCCTGCCGCTCCTCAGCCTGCGCGGCTCGGGCAGCAGTTGGGCCGTGCTGCGGTTACATGGCAGCCAGCTTAACAGGAGCTGGGGTCTGATCACACAGGCTGCGGTGAACAGCAGCGATTGTATGACAGGGCCAAGTTGGTGACCGTGGAGGCGAAACTCCATTTTGCATCCCAGCTGCACCGCGGGCAGTCTAAAAGGCTTCAGCACGGACATGCTGCTGACCTCATTTGCCTTAACTGCGGACGCTCCCTGTGGTTCTTCCTTCCTACCTACCTCTTGCAGTCCCTACCGTATGAAGGAGGCTCCTTCTACGTTATTTTCCCTCCTTCGTTTGTTGCAGTAATTCCTGCTTCTTCCACTAGCATCGGTCCCGTCCAACTATGAGCTCCCAGATCAGCAGATGAAAGTCCTCCTGACATATGCCCAGGTCCGTCCCTCCCCCCTTTGCCTTCCTCAGTCCTCCTCCAGTGGCATTCCTCTTCTCCAGATCCGCCTTTGCTGCCTCCTCAGCTCAAAGGAGGCAAGCCTGGGCACCCAAGCCAGGCTTGCAGTTTCTATAGGTCAAAGTTCTTCATAGCAAAAAATAAACAAACAAATAAAATTAAGAAAGACCTCACTTTTTTTTATGCCAATTAGTTTATAACTTTCCAGCACCGAATAGTTCACCTTTGGCAATAAACAACAGAAAGACGCTTGATTTATCTATTTCCACAAAAGCAAGTTATTTCCTTCTGTTTAGGAATCTGGTTTCGTTAGTCTCCTGGCTCATACTAGTACAGCTTGACTTTGATTTGGGAACTTCACTCAAAAAACCCTTCTCACATACAGCTATATTAAATTTACATATTTGATTGTAAAACAGTGTATGCGTTTTGACAAAATGAATGTTGCTTTCTGCCTCTCAATTGTTCTATGTTTTTCTATGATTCATAAATTGGAGTGCTCTCAAAAAAAATACACTGAATTTTAAACAGCTAAATGGTTGGTTAATCAAACGTAGGGAAGCAGTTGAAATTAAGAGATAATTGTCTTACCTGTTGTGACACCATGAACAACTCCTTCCTTGGTCCTGGAACCTAAACAAAGAACAATATTATGTTGAAAATACATGTCTTAAGTACTGGTAAAGCCTAGATGGGTGATAAAGAGGGATGAATATACAGATTACATACAGTTGCATAGAGTATTTTCTAAGATTATTAAAATTAATTAAAGAGAAATTCAATCTGAGGGAAAGGGCAAAACCATCAATAAGCAGCAACTGCATGAATGCGTATTGACTGTGGAAAAGGCGAATAATACTGGAAACACTTCGGCAGGTTTTTTTTCTTGTACATACCGACTTCCTTGCCATTTTCTTAATAGCTGTGTTAATTAAGCCTCCCACTTTGCAAACTCACATGGATGACTGCACAGAAACCAAGTTACTGTTAACATCCTAAGAGGCTAACGCATGTCTTTGCAGATCAGAGCCCAAGTTTCCAGAACATCCTTACAATTTCATCTTACAACTCTTCTCCAGATCTCAGTTTGAAGGCGTTAACCACCATTATTGAACTACAGAAAGACCTAGAGGTTAAAATCATGGGGAGCTGGTAGTGCTAGCCAGATTTAGACAAAAATTAATCTGAACGGGGAAACATTAAACAGTAGATAGGATTCAAACATGAAAATGCCACCAGGGTCAAACCCAAGGTCTGCCGCATCCAGTGTCCTTGTTGCCACAGGCACATGTGACAACATGTAAAGATTCTGCAGAGAGCAATCTAGAGCTAGTACTAGACTGAGACGTAATGCAAGACCTGTGCAAGCAATGTAACTCTGCCACCCTGAAGACCAAACCGTATCTGGAACACCCATGTAAAAATACCATGACTTGTTACCACTCTGCATGAAAGGGAACAATCTCTCATGTCTCCAATGGGAAAAGAAACAAATTAGCACGTATTGCTGTTGAAAACCTAATTCCATTTCTTTCTCCCTACCAGAGCTCTACTTGTCCTTCTCAGGTTTTATAACCTGGCTACATTTCAGGGATTAGTAGCCATCTGTGGACTATGATGCTTAACAATTAAGCATTACAGAGTTCATGGCTCCTAGCTTATCATCTTACCCTAGTCTGCCAGAGATAGGATTTTTTTTTATTATTACTAACACAGAAGTTACCTTATTTGTAATTCATTTTTTTGTCTGTATGTCATTCAGTATTTTACACATTATAATTTATACTTCTGACTTTACACTTCTAACATCTATACAATTTTAGCTTAACACTATGTGTAAAATCATATACAAACTGATATAAGCAGAAATGTATTAGAGGAAAATATATGACCAGAAAAATATTAGAAGAAAGCAACTTTGTCCACAATTCTTTACAATAATACAATTAAACACTGAAATACAATATAAGTTCATTCATCAATATGTCCTACTTGCTACTAGTGCCAATTTATGGAACTTAAGCCCTGTATTTATAGTACTATCAGATTGATTAGAGCATTGAAAAGGCTCTGTTATCCATGAGCAAGAGCAGAATAATAATCCGTGATAAATAAGAGGAAAACAAATACTGCATCCAGTAAAATGGCATGTTCCTTTAACTAGCTAATGAAGAGGTTAAAAAGCTGAGAAGTCTTTTTCCCCCTTTATTCTGATTTTCTCTTTTTAAAAAGCTTATTTTCTCTCACTGAAAATATTTACCATTGAAAGAATTGTCCATTTTATTAAATCCAAAGTGTTAATGTCTAAGCACTTGGTTTAGGACTTTGGTTCTCAATCTTGCAGCACCATGAGACCTGAAGCAGCAAAGCACTTTGAACGCTTACTGGAATCCAAGCAGGTGATGGTTCTAGTGACTTCTAGAAAGAGACTAAACATGATTTCAGGCTTACAGTGTGTCTATCAGAATACTTAATATTAAGCGTATGCTTTTAAATGCAGTTAGACCTGGCTAGTGTCTTGTTCATCTTGTTGAAGTTATTACCTGCAAGCCAAGCTATTAAACACATGGAAACCTGTGAATAGCAAGTACTCAGTCCCCTAGGACTGGTAAGAGATGGATGGTACACCAGAACTCCCTGAGGAACTCTGCAATGCATATTATCTCCAGAGGGACATATGCAAGTTGACTCTTACTTCACTTACCCTGACGTAACATTGCTATAACCACAACTAATACAGAAATGCTAGTCTCTTTCTGTTAGTGGAAGACAGGCTTTTCTTTAATGAAAGCTCAGCTCACAGACCCATACAGAACAGAGATATGTATAGCTAAATCCATTAATTGGCAAACAACCAGCTAAGCAGTGGTCCAGACCTTACAGCATATGTTAGAGCTCAATACTATTTGCCCCACTACTGCACACTTGCATGGAAGTAGCTGTTTTTGCAGCCACAGCTACAACAGGATCTAGAAGTACATTAGGATCTGCCAGAACAGGCCTATAAATAACAACAGTTGAATTCAGTAGGACGACTTCTGGCAATGAAGGAAAGCTGGTCATCCACATTGTTTCTGAGACAAACTAGCTGTCTTTCATCCTGGCATTCCCAAAACATCAATAATCTTGCTCATTGTACCCTGCATAACAATGGGAACAGAGGCATCGGAGTAGGGATAATACAAAGACCAAGGAATTTGACACTGACCTACACCATCTAGGTGATCCAGGAGCAATGGTAGTACAGGGTAATGCTACTTTTCTTTGCTATAATACACGTTTGTGTGAGGGGAAGGAGAAGCCAAAACCAGAATTTTTGCCTTTTTGTAATTATAAAAAAAATACAATAGACTCTTAATTTCATTATTTATTATCATCACTGTCATTATGCCAAAACAAAAGTGTATATCAGTAGTTTGGCAATACACTCATTTCTGGGCTTTTTGAGAGACGAACAGACTATTCCAAGGAAGTCCTGCCTGAGATTCAGGTTGCTTAGTCAGAGCTGGTTAAAGACAGGGAGACATAAGCGCAAATTAGGGGAAGGAGAAATCATCGCCTACGGAAGACACTTCCTCCCAAGTGCTGAAGCTCATTATTGCACCAGATGGACCTTGAGTCCCTTGACTACTCTGCTGGCTTTTCTGTTACCAAAGGAAAATAAGAAACCTTATGAAAAGAGAGTGTAGCAGAGGAATTTGGATGGTCTTGCCAAATAGGTCATGACTGCACTATTCTACTCTAAGGCCATGTACCAGCTAAGCACAGGGAGTAGCAAACAACTCATCCACTAGCTACCCTGCTCCTGATAAACTATTCCTTTGTTCTGCTAGGGTATAACACATCAAAAATGATCAGACTGGAAACTTCCATTCCTGAGCACTGAACATGCACTCAAGAGTCAGCTTAGCAAAAACTTCAGCTCCCTGGTAGGACAAACAAAGCTCAGAGGAGCTCTTGAGCAATACATCACTAAGAGCATGCAAGAGCATCCTTCTTACTCTCGGTTCCTGGTTTCAAAGCGAGTGGGGGTAACTATTGCCACTTGTTTCCTCACTGCTTCACACCAACAGCTCTTGAAGGATACACAGAGACACAGTTTTAAAGTTACAGCACACACGATGCAGCACAGGATTGCTGAGCCTTAGTCCTCCTTTCTAATCAATGATCAGGCCGTTGTTTGACATCAAGAAAGGTCCCGATGCTGTGCTTGTACGAGTCAAGACACAGCCACTGATTTCAGCTGGCCAATGTTGAAGTACATCAGCAGAGGAATTTAGGGAAAAAAACCACCTGAAAGCATAAAAACACACTACAGACTGTATTGAACAGTATCTTGGGTATTAAAAAGCACGACAAAAACAGTGGACTGAGGGAAGAAAGAATAGACTTCAGCATGGAGAGGGAAAAAAATCCCCAGTTAATTCTCTAATATGCCACTTTTCCTCAGAGCTCTAAGTTTCCCCCTGTGCAAAAGGGAACTTTCCTTGTGTGGGAAAAAGGGAAAAAAGTTACAACAACCACATTTCATCCCAAGCAGCAGCTTTTGTTAATAGAACACTTATCAGGTAGAATTATGTTACAATCTTTCACATAATAGCTAACAGCATTCTGGACAGAAAGGTCCAGATGTTTTCCATATTCACTTAAATTCCACTGATTTCAGTGGGAGACCGTATCACCTAGGGGATCTGGACCAAAGACTTTGCATCTTATTAATTCTCCAGCAGCAATGGAAGGCTGAATGTTATGGAGCTGACTGTTGAAACTGAAAACGATTAACAGGTCTCTCTCAGCCCAATGTTAGGTTCTTTTTTGCAAGATGTCAGGCAGCTTTCACAGTATAATCTGGCTGTGAAACTTGTATCTGAAAACCCAGCTACAGACATAGGGAGGGAGAAACTTTCAGGAGCTCTAATGCAGTGTGCTGCTTCTCTCCTCTGCTCACAAAGGGGTTTCACCACCTTTTGCATTGCAACTGTTACCAGCCTCCAGAACCAAAGAGGATCACACCAGCCTTTGCTAACGCTGCTTGGAAGAGCTGCCCCCACTGTGTGCTTGGGAAGTAGACAGAGAAATACGCCACTCCTCATTTGCCCCTTACCCTACTTGATCCTGTTGAAAATTCAGCTGGGGAAACTGTGTCTCCCTACAAGCAGGTATGGGCAGGCACATATGCAGACACACGAGCTGCCAGAGCTCCCAGAGACAGCTTCCAACCAAAGGCTTTTTTACCTGCACAACTGAAACTGCGCATATAGCTCCTCCTGAAAAGCAGGCATCTGCTGTGGGAAGGATCCTTTACCACTACTACAGTCATATGCACTGGTCCCTATCATGGCTCAGGGCTCCGCTGTCCTCAGTATTTTATTCTTGAACTAAATAGCAAGCCTGCCCTCCAAAGTTCAACCTCATCAAAAGCATCTCTGAAGACAATAGGGTATCTGTTGCCTTTGGGAGCAGAACGAGATTCAAATATTATTACAGTCTGGAGAACAGGTCTGACACAAAGATTAATTCAGCACACAATGCAGGTTTCTAATACAAAGAAATCAATGACCCCAGAAGCACAGTCAAGAACTACAAGAAAACAAAATAAATAAATAAAAAGTCCCCCCCCCAAAACAATTCCAATATCAAGCACAGTGTACAGTGAAAAAACATCTATTTTGATGTATTGAAAATGAGCAGATGCTCATTTTAAAATAGACTCATCTTACAATTAGTTTTCAAAATGACTGCCATCTCTGTTGGCAAGAGCACTGAGCTTTGCTATGGCTCAGCAGGAGAAAAGTGTATTCCAAATGAGTAGTCCAAACTATCTGGAACAGAAATAATTTGTTGTAGACTGGCACTAGCCTGCAAGGGCAGAGGGAATCCTGAAAAGACTTTGGAATTGCAGACACTTCAGTGCTTCCATTTAAAAGAAATGTCTCAGGTTTTCAACTCTGTTTAACTTCTCTTTGATATCTGTGCACATCTCCCTAGGTACACACAGCATCCATTACAGAACTGACCTGCTACAAAATCAGCAAAAAAGAAAGGACCTACACAAAAGAGTATCTTTTCCCCTTCATTCTTTTATAGAAAAACTTTATTTGATGAATAGGAGAAACAGATCCATAATTTTTTTTTTAAATGACCACTTATTCATATGGTCTTGGTAGATTATTTTCCTGTGAAGTTTTCATGGCAGCATTCACAAGACAGTCCTCTAAAGCCTGATACTTGCTAAGTGAAGATGATGATCATGCAATCAAAGTACTGATTGGGGATTTGAAAAGAATTTTATCCCTGGCTCTGCGCAAGACTCTTGTGTGTGGCCTAGATAAGTCACTTAACAACTGCTTTGCTACCTTGGGGTCTACCTGCCCTACCTCATTAACTGTAGTCGCTCTTCCTTGAGAAGTCACAGGAAATATCTGCTATGGATATGCAATAGTAAGTACAGAACATGAAGTTAATTTCAAAAGATGAGAAGATGTCACTTTGCCATACAAAATGTTACTGTTGGCATGCCAAGTAGTCAGCATGGCTTATGCTCAGTTCCCAAATTAACCTCTCAAGCTTCTTCTCTTAAAAACCCACTTAAACCCCACGTGTTCAATTGGATGCTGTGAAGCTACCTTCCACTTCAGCTTTTACTTTTTTTTTAAAAATTTATTTTTACTGTACCAACTACCCCTTCAACCTTAACCTAGCAAACTTCTTGAATAGAGTGCCAGCTAGTGACCTGTACTGTAAGGCACCTCCTGTGACAAAACCTCATCCAGTATGGCATTATGGATGTGGCTCCACAGAGCAGTAATGTATGGCCAGCACAATGCAGTGACTTAAGAACCAATATTCAGCTTCAGAGAACTGGAGCTCAGGAGGGCACAACTCTCTTCTTTGTTTTGCAATGGTCTCCTATGAGTGACTGCATATTTTTTTTGCAGAAGAATAGGTCTGATGAGGATGCAGCTGTGAATGTCAGGGTACACCGACCAGCAGCATGATCTCTGCTGTCCACCTACCTACATAGAGGACACCTTCTTTCGTCTTTCCTGCCGCCTCTGCCACACCCTGCTTGGTTTTTTCTGCTGCTGCTACGACTCCCTCCTTTGCCTTGGAAAGTCCTTTCATGAACACATCCATGGCTGAAGAGTTTCTTCACACAGCTCTAGAGAAAAAAAAAAAAAAAAAAGACAGTACACTTCCAGTAAGACTTTTTTCAGCTTTTTATCCCAGAATGGGAGGAAAAATTCAGTCAAACTGAATGGGATGGCAATTACTTAAAAATTATATTATTTATACCCACATATTATGTAGCTTTCATCCACATCTCTATTAGCCATACACAAACACCTCTCTATATGCAAGGTTGCACTCAGTATTTCAGACAGAAAGAACAGTTAAATAACTAGAAAAACAAGGAGTAAGGTTACACGAATCACCTTTACATTTTCTCACATGCTGCTATAGATAGTAAGTTAAACAGTGCTGCAAGAGCAGTTCCCTCAGTCCAAGAAAGGCTCGGGGATCCTGTTTCCACAGAATCCTACAGAGAGGTTGCCGATAATGCAGCTCTGGTTGGAAGATGGATTCATCAATACAAGTCCCTTCCTTGCCTACCAAGGCATCATTTCCTCCAAAGGACAGTTCTGTTCATGTGCTGATTGCAAGATTTAGCCCTGTGATTTGATGATACTCCACCTCTCATTCAGAGGAAAAAATCTGACTTAAAGAAACACTAGCAACTTAAAAAACAATGAAAGCAAACCACAAAAACCCAAACCCCTCCTAAATGACAAATGTTCACTTGTTATAAGAAACCGCCATTACGACCCAGAAGGACTGGAGCAAATAGAAAAATGCTGCTTTTCTAGTAGTCCAGCATTTTGTACACAGTCCACGTCACTCTTCTGGAAACTGAGTCTTCCCAAATGGGTTCTTTGCATGTATCAGGACTGAGAAGAGATTTTACTAAAAAGCAAAAGCAAGAATGCAGGATTTTAAAAGCACTGCACTAAAGCTACCAAGTGAGTTCTGTACCAACTACATAACCCAGCGCTACACTGGAACTACTACAATAGTAATTAAAACCAAGAAGTCGGTGCCCCTTCAACAAATCAGTTATCGATAGTCCTTTCTCTTCCTCCACCCACACAGAAAGAAGTGCTGCCTGTTATTTTCTTTTCCCTGCCAGAGGCTGAGTAGGAGGAATGGATGTCTAGGAAGGCATCTGGGCTGCCGCAGCTTTCTACTAACTTGTGACGAGCGTGTGAAGAAAAGCAATATTTGTGCTCCAGCCAAACTGCCTCTGCCTACGGTACCTGTCACCCTGGGCCTGGGGGGGAGGTGAGGAGGGGAGGCGATGCCTTATACACAGAGGGGGGGAGGCAGGCCCCAGCCCGCGGGACCCTCCGGCTCCACCACCAAGGGGCTCCCCGTGCCCGTGCCCGTGCCCGTGCCCGTGCCCGTGCCCGGGGGGGGGGGTGGGCTGCGCCACAACCAGGTGCAGGGGCACCTGGGGACGGCGGGCGGGCAGCGCGGGCGTATATCAAATAATACCCAAGGCACCTGCAGAGGGAGGGAGAGGGCTGGGCGTCGTGACTATATCTATACGTACAGAGAGAGAGAGAGAGAGAGAGGCACCTACCGAGGAGAGCTGGGCGACGCGACCGTGTGGGCACCCACGGGCTCCAGCTGACACGCCATCGGCACAAGGCGGCCACAGCGCCCGGCTTCTCCTCCCTCCCCCGTGCCCACAAGAGCACGTTCAACAGGACATATATATATAAAAAATATATTTTTTATATATATAAAATTACACGTGTATGTATATATATAC